GTGGGCTATAAACCACCTCTTTAATACCCCCATAGGTCTCCTGCCAGCTCCTGGTGTGAGAGCTGGGGGTGAAGAGGTAGGGTGTGGTGGCTGGCGGCCCCGTTCCAGCTGTGCCTGTTCCCCTCCTCCTTGCTGCCACAGACTGATGGCGCAGCAGGGTGACATGTCACCTCTTCTTCCCTGTTTCCAGCTGGGGGGCTTTTTGGATGTGCTCCACCATGCACATGTGAGGCTGGTGAACAGGACATGTCTCTGCTGCTCGGTGTGTCTCGGGGCAGGGGGGAGGGGGCATTTAGGAGACTCATGGGCCTGGGGATGTTCCAGAGGCACATGGCTCTCCTGAAGAGTGTTTTTGGGGTGAGGCAGGTGCCCTGGGCAGCCCTTTTGTGGCTTCTTGCAGTTGGCAGGGTGCAGCATCAAGACCAGAGCTGTTGAGTTGTTTCAAGGGACTCTAAAAGAGAGAAGTCCGTGGGGCTGGAGATGAGTGGGCAGTCAGCAGCTGTGAGATGTCAGAGGGTTTTCAAGCCCCCATAATTTCCCTGTTTCCACTTTACGCCTCCAGCCTAGGAAGGTGGCCTCAGTGCAAGGAGGGATGCAGGCAGCAGCAGGGAGCTGGAATAGCCCTGCTTAATGTGCCCCATACCTCTTCTTTTATCCCCAGAAGCATCTCCCGTAATGTCCTATGCAGTTACAATCCCAATGGATTGTAAATCCCCAAAGCTGGGGCTTACCGCCAGGAGGAAAACTATGCCACACTGCATCCCTGTCCCTAGCCAGGACTTTGTCACCTTCTGTGTCACCCTCCCTCCACCACTGCTACCCTGCCTTGGCCCTTGGCAAAGAGGGGAGCAGGGCAAGTTGCAGGTGATGAGTGATGTCTGAGATGTTGTCAGTGACCCAACCATGAGCTGGATATCCCCAGAGACCACTTGAAGGTGACAGGCAAGGCAGCAGGGCAGTCCCCAGGTGTAGCAGGGTCCCAGCTCGGTAGTCTTAACACCTCTGTTCTTTCACCTTCTGATGTCCTTCCATGCCCATCAGCCTGGTGCCAGCACTGGGGCTTTTTGTTCATTTTGGTTATAGCCATCTCATGGTCTTACACAGCCGCTGGTACAGAGAGAGACTGACAAAGGGGCTCTTCACTGTGCAGTTTGCTGCTCAAGGGGAAAAGTCGCAGGGTTCCCCGACAATTGCAGCAGTGCTGGTACCACAGGGGCTTATTCAAAGATGCTACTGACATTCCCCCCCCCCAGGCTGATGGATAGGCTTGGGAAGGATTCCCAGGCTGGCCGCTTTCCCTCTGCGGTGTCTGTTCTCCCAACAAATCGTTTCACTGGGAGGTTGTCGTAGATGTTCAGCTGGAAAACGTGCAGAGGGGAGGGCCTGGGAAAGATGGTGTTGGGGCAGAAGTTATAGGATTTTTCTCTTTCCTCTGTTTGCCGCAGGGCCATGCAGAGCAGGCCTGGGAGCTGGCCCGAAGGGGTCTCTGCAGGGCAGAGCCAGAGGTGGAAAGGAGGGTCAGCACCCCATGAGTGAAGCCTGGGATGGAGAAAGAAAATGAGGTTTCAGTTGTTGCACTCTTCTGGCACTTAATTGCTGCAAGACCCCATGTCTTGGTTTGCCTCTTCTGGGGAGGTGATAACGCTCCCCTCCCTCCTGAAAGCTGCGTTTCTTTTCAGCCTCACTTTGAGCCGGACACCACTAAGGGTTTTTATGTCTCTGGGGGCATTGCTGAATGAACCCCCCAAAGCTGGGGGGTGAATTTCACTGCCCAGCCCTCCTAGAGACCTACCTGATGCTGGTTCTTGGCTCCTCCTTCCTCCATCTTCAGTAGGAGTAGTGAAGGAGTCCCCACTTCTAGCCTAGTTCCTTGTGCCCAAACATCCCCCATCTCCTCCTGGGCCCCACCTCTGCCTCAGGTAATTGCAGGAGGCAGGAAGACACTGGGTTTTCCAGGGAATGGTTTTAAGAGCTCTCAGGAGTGCTGGAGCCATGTGCAGCACATGGGGCTGTGCCGTGCAGGGACCAGCTCCTCGCCAGAGATCCTCAAGCACCCACTCCACACCATATACAAATCCTTCCTGAGCTTAATTCCCCACATGCCAAGAGAAATGGTGCTCCTGGCACCAGCACTGTGCATAAAAGAGGAAAGACTAGAAAGACGTAGTGCTGCCCTGGATCCTCACCCCGTGGGGCTCTGCTGCTCTCTCCCAGCAAAAGCTGGGATCCATGGCCCCGGGTATGGAGCGGGGAAAGCCCAGGTATCGGTTGGAGCCCAGCCAGGGACATTCACTGCCTTTGGGATTGTTTTGAAGAGCTGCTTTGCTTTCTAAAAATGAAAGGCATGCTAAAGCAGCTGGCATGGGGTGGGGTGAGCGTCGCTTTGAGATTGGGATGGCGTCAGGTACCCGGCCCCATCTCTGGGGTCTCCCCCAAGCCTGGGCTGCCCTCAGCAGCTGCAAGCATGGGGGAAATGAGGACAGGTGGGATGGGAGCAAGCCCAGGCTCCCTGACACAGGGTTGAGGTTTTGCTTGGGACAAGTGGGGCAAGCTATGGGCATCATTTCAGGTGCCAGCATCCTCCAGTTGCTGGCAGCATGCTGTGGTAGGCACTGCAGCTGAGGGTGCTGTTGCCACTCTCTGCAAACATCCCCACCTGCTTCACAGAAGCCTTTGCCCCTGCCTGGACTTCCCCGGACAGGGCTGGCAGAGGATCTGCTGCCGGGCGAGTGCTGGCGGAGGCGGGCAAGGGGAAGAGAGCAGCATGCCCCGACCTGCTTTAGCTATGAGATCACCCCACGCTCCTGGCTATTAAAGAGAGATACAAAGCCATACACAGCCCTGGGCAGCTCTTGATAGGCATGAGTGAGCACAAGAGGCTGGGGACCAGAGCAGGCACCAATCCCCAGGGCTGCGCTTGCATGCACCCTGCTCCCCAAAAATGTGCCAGGTTCATTTGAAAAAATTCCCATGTTGTTTTGCACAAGTCCAGGGGTCAAATCTGTGCCCCACTTGACCCTGTGCGCTGCAGGCTTCCCTGGGGGCAGCTGAAGGAAACCCTTCCCACAGGTTTTCTGCTTGAGCATCCCACAGGCATCAGCAGCATGTGCTCAAGCATGAGGCGAAGCAGGGAGGTCACACGTGTCCACACAGGGCTCTGGCCAGTGATTTACGCTCCTTGGCAATGGGGACACAGCACAGGGATGAGCAGTAACCAGAGCTGTGCTGCACCTGTGCTGGGCCTCCTGCTTTTGCTCTGATTTAATATCCCAGTTGAGAGGTGATGTCATTTTGGAGGGAACCAGAGAAAAGGAAATGCTAGAGAAGATAAGGTGCTTTAACTCTACCCTTCCCAGCTTGGCTGGGTTTTGAAGCTGGAGCTGTGTTAGCTGCCAGCCAGGAAAACATAAGAGAGGGGAGGAAAGAGGTTGGTTGGAGGATACCTCCCTCTTGGGGCAGTGGGAGCTGATACCAGGAGCTGCTGAGATGGAGGGTGATGGAGGACCTTGGATGTTCCTAGGTGGTGTGAGCACGATTGTGTGTGCTGCTCTGGCCACTCCATCACCTTCACCTCCCAAACATGTGGGGTGGGTTTTCTGCATCACCAGTCATACCCTGCCAGAGCCTGGGTGCCACGCCAGCAGCCAGGGAGGTGCTCCAGGAGGGTCAGCAGAAATGCTGGCAAGATGCTGGAGAAGGTAAATTGAGAATGTGCCAAGGCTACCCTGCTTCTGAAGGGGAGAGAGACTGACTGGAAAGGTCATTACCAAAAGCTCATTAAAAGGTCTTGTTTAGCTGTGGAGATGAGCCGGGGATTCCCATAGTGCTGAGTCCAGAGACCTGGACTTTCAGAAGGATCTTGTGGGGGCATCCTGGTCCCTCTGACAGTCACAGGTGGTCAAGCCCCAAAGTTTTCTGCCCTTTGGGTGATGTCAAGCTGCATCTGCTCATTCACATGACTGGGAAAACCTCAAGGGAGACTGGTTGGGCTGATACGACCCAAAGTCCTCTCTGTTGCACCAAGCTGCTGCCCAGATGTCCTCAGGTGGAGGGGAGTAAGGTTGGGCCACCACTAGCCAGACCCAGCTCTACACCGGAGAACAGGATCGGTGAGCAAGAGCAAATCAGGATCACCAGTGGCCTTACACAACCGTGCAGGACATACAACAGCACTGTGGGTTTTCCAGCTCCACGAGCTGCCCACCATGCAGGCAAGGCAACGCTTGCTGCCCTGCTCAAGTCAGTACTCTTGTCACTTGAGCTAAGGGACTGGCTTTCAGGCAGGCTTATTCACATTTAGACATGCTTTTGACTGTGCCAGACACTGTGGCAATAGCTGTGACAGATGGCACCTACTGAAGCCCCAGCTGGGGGTTTTCTCTCAATATCGGGCTTCGAGATTCTCAAGCTGGGTATGACTGCCCAGCAGCTTGGTGCAGTAAATGGATGCTGCTTGCTGTCACACTCAGGTCAGAACTTGAAAAACAGCAATGGCCTGCAGGTACCAATGTGCCAGTCCAGTCCAGTGTGGCGGAAATCATGGGCATGGTGGGGCAGAGGGAGCATCTGTCAGAAACCGCAATGTGTAAGTGTAGCTGTTGTGGCAAGTTTTGGGCTGACCTCCCCAACCCAAGGAGCTTTGCACCTCAGCAGGCTTACTTGTTGTCATCCTGCCCTGGTGGGTTTAACTATCAAGAAGTGACCCTGGTTGTCCTCAGAGTAGTAGGCAGTCAAGAAAAAGACTGTCTCTTCCTGCCGTTTGTCTGAATGAAGAGCAGGAGGGTGTGCGGGATGCCTAACATCCAGCTGCAGCAAGAAAAATCAGACCCAGGTCTCCATCCCTTTCTCCGTGTGCGTGGCACAGTCATCACAACATGTCTGCGCTAGTTAGCGATGGCTGGTGGCTTTTTGCTCTGCAAGGCTCTGTTCTCAGTGTTGCAGGGTTATCACCATTGGGTCCCCAGCCTGGGGCTTGGGGTGCCAGGTACTGATGGTCTCAGCCTCGCTGCCACGAGCTCAATGTCCCCATTTTCTCCACAGGAGGCTTTGCCACCTTCTCGTCCTGCTTCCCGGGGCTCTGCGAGGGGAAACCAGCTGCCATCCTGCCCATGAGCATCTCCCAGCCATGCTTGCCAGTGGCCAACGTCGGCCCCACACGCATCCTGCCGCATCTCTACCTGGGCTCCCAGAAAGACGTCCTGAACAAGGTACGGCCCTATTTAGGGGACACATCTGCCCTGTCCCATCTTGGACCCCAGCCATGCAGAGAGGTGAGGGCATTAAGGACTCTTCTCCTGCCCGGTGGGAGGACCACCCATGGTCAGTCTGGCCCTACCAGGAGGCTGAAGGCAGGGAGTTCATAGGCAGAGCCTGGCAGAACCGGGAAGAGTGGTCACAGGATGAGTCCTCTTATATTGATGAGCTTAGGGCTGGTCAAACTCTTCCCAAGAGCCCGTAGTGAACTCAGGGACAGGAGAAGCACAGCCAGGAAAACGCCTGGGCTTGGAAGAGGAGTTACCACAGCTGGAGGGAGGTGTGGAACAGAAGCCAGCTTTGCACCCACCTGCCTAGCCAGCCATGTTGCCAGATAACACCAATTTCAGCAACGCTGTGATCCCCTTGGGAGTTAGAGAGAGTGGGAGCAAGCTTAGGGTATTCAGTCACATCAGTGTGGGGATGGGCAGCTGTGGCCAGGGGCAGAGGCTTGGGCTTGTCCAGGATGCCCAAAAATGCAAAAATGAGCAAAGTTTTGCTGTGAGGAGAGAGGAGAAAAGAGGTACAGTGCTCTTTTAAAGGTGCTGGAAGGGCTGTGATGTCACTCCAGGGAAGGAATTTTGTTTAAAGGAAAAATAACAGCAAGAAGAAAGAAAGAAAGAAAGAGGAATTGCAGTTAAAATGCCACTGGGCGCCTGCCTACCGCGGGCAGGAGGGAGCCAGCCAGGCGTCCTCGCCGGGGGCAGGCGAGGGGGGAGAGGGACCACGATGCCAGAAGGGGGTTGGAGACAGAAAGGAGGGAGAGAGAAATTATATACAGGGAGTAGAAGGAAATGAAAGAGAAAAATGCCAAGAATGTAAGCCCGGGAGCTGGGCTGGCTCCACCGAGCTGAGGCTGGGCTCCGCAGAGCCTGCTGGGGTGGGCAGGAACTGGCCGCTGGAGAGCCAGGGCCAAAATCCTGGTGCAGTCTCCTGTGGAGCCAACATCAGGCAGGGAAATGGATGGTTTCCTTTCCTTTCTGCCTCCTCAGAGGGTTTTGTTCATCTTTTGGAGCTGTGTTTTCTGCCATCCCCACAATGTGGCCAAAAGATGCTATATTCATAGGCAGCACGGGTCAAGTGTGGAGGCCGCACATGGGTGATGCTTCTCTTCTCCAGCACGTTGCAAGAGGGAGAACCCACATGGTAGCTCCACACACTCTGACATGTGGAAGGACTCTTTTATCTCCATGTTTTCTCCTCCTGTTTAATTCTGGATCTTGCCTGGAATGCTGCAGACCAGGCATTGAGACCCAGCAGCTGGCACAGATGTTCCCCCATGTTTTATAACCATCCTGCCCCCAGTTGTACAGGTGATACCTAATCTGATGAGACTGGGAAAGAGACAGGGGTCAGATGAGCCATAAATTTGGTGTCAGCACCACATACGGGTGAAGTTGGCTGTAGCCCTGGGAGGGAAGGAATGGATGCAGCAGTACACACCCAGCAAGCCAGTTCCCTGATGGATGATTTATGGGTCAAACCTCACCCCCTCATTGCAGTTTTTCATCTGACCCTATTTACCTAAGGTGTCTCTTGTGCCATTGCATTTTATTGAGTCAGAAATATGGGCAGTGATGGTGGCCATTGAGTGACCAAAGCAGAAAAGTCACAGAAAACAAGTCCAGGTTCGCTCCAGTGTCAGAAAGAGGGAAGAGATGGTTCCCCTCACCACGTGCCTATGTCCCAACACAAGAGCATATGTTTACAGTGAACAACTAACAAATCTGTAAGAACTCCTGATGTGTTTCTGAGGGGTGTGGGAGCAAAGATAAGGGTTGACATTGGTTAACATAGGGTGCTACCAACGACTTGCCCCACTCTGTTGGTGAGATGCCTCCTCTCTCCCTCAGCTGATACTTTCAAAGCTTTCAGCCAGAGTTTTTGCTGATTTTCTTTCTTGTGTTTTCCTATTCCTCTCATACTGGGCTTCTTCGGTTTTCCCCTCTGGGACCCCCTTCTAGGTGTCTTTGGTCTTACTTACTTTTACTTGGACCAAAGATCTGCTGAGGTTCAAAACTGTGTCATCTAAATTGACATAACCTTCTCATCTGGTTGCTGGTGTACTACCATCAACTAGGTCAAGGCAGCAATGGGAGACCCACAGGAGAAAATACTGGGATGGGAAAAGGCAGGGAGTGCATGGTAAGGCAGGTCTTCAGCACTCGCTGCTGGCTGAACTCAGATGATCATTCAATCGCTTCTTTCCCACCAGGACTTGATGACGCAGAACGGGATAAGCTATGTCCTCAATGCAAGCAATTCCTGTCCCAAGCCAGACTTCATCTGTGATAGTCACTTCATGCGCATTCCTGTCAATGACAACTACTGTGAGAAGCTGCTTCCCTGGCTGGACAAGTCTATTGAATTCATTGGTGAGCTTTCATTACAATAGTTGCAGACCCTCCAGTTCTCAGCCTTCAAAACCTGAACTCTTCTGTCCTCCATGGTCTTACTCCTAGCAACCCTTGTTCTTTCACACAAAGGGGTTCAGGGTTGGGGAGCGAGGCCAGAGTCATCTTGCTCACCATCTCTGACCACATTGATGCTTTTCTCTTTGTTTCCTCTATGGTACTCCAGACAAGGCCAAGGTGTCCAGCTGCCAGGTGATTGTGCACTGCTTGGCCGGGATCTCCCGATCGGCCACCATTGCCATCGCCTACATCATGAAGACCATGGGTATGTCATCAGATGATGCTTACAGGTGAGTTTTCCCCAGAGGGCAGGGAGGGGTATACTTCATTCCAGGGAAGGAAAGGAGGCTGAGCCCAGAAGGAGAGGGCGGGAGCTCCTTGAAGCTCTATCTTGCCTTGACTGAGTCCTGGTAAAAGCAAACCAAATCTCCCTTCATAGAGTGCATGCAATGAGAAATGGTTGTGAGCAGTAAAATGGCAGGGGGGAGGCAGTCCCAGCTCTACCCCTGGGGCATCCTGAGGCCCCATGGTTCCCCAAGACCCCTTTCGTCAGAGGGTCTGGTCAGAAGGTCCTGGACAATGCCTCTTCTCCCCAAAGAGTCTGAGAGAATAGGGGTGACCCGCTGAAGGACGAAGTGCCTACCGGGGATGTCTGTGCCTCTCTGCAGGTTCGTTAAGGATCGTCGCCCATCTATCTCACCCAACTTCAATTTCCTGGGCCAGCTCCTGGAGTACGAGAGGAGCCTGAAGCTTCTCAAGGCCCTGAAGTCAAAGGGCGACCGGGGCGAGGGGGACACGCAGCAGGACCCAGCAGAGGCAGCTGAGGGCAGTCAGCACCCCCCACCACCTACCTCAGAGAAGGCAGAGGAGGTGCCAAGAGGCTCCGGCTCGGTGTCACCCCACAGCGATCCCGAGCGGCAAGGTGGGACCCCGAAGGTCCTGTCACCCACCACCCTGCAGCAGGGGCTCAACGGCTTGCACCTCTCCTCCGAGCGCATCCAGGACACCAACCGCCTGAAACGCTCCTTCTCCCTGGACATAAAGTCTGCTTACTCCCCCGGCCTGCGGCAGGACCCCCCTGGACCTCCTGGCCCTGGGGACGCCCCCAAACTCTGCAAGCTAGACAGCCCCTCGGGCCCTGGTGGCCTTGGCCCCTTCTCCCCAGGGGCGGACAGCCCCGACCGGCCAAGCG